CTGTGGAGCCCACGGTGCCGTCCCCTCCCCCGCCCAGGCATCTTCATGGTCATGTTCTCGGTCATCTCCATGGACTTCTTCCGGCTGGAGGCCGCCCAGGCCGGCTACCTCATGTCCTTCTTTGGGGTCCTGCAGATGGTGAGCGGGGTGCCCGGTGCAGCCTGGGGCTGGGGACGGGGTGGGCCTCGGATGGGACCAGCCCTCGGCCCGGCCGGAGGTGGGAGAGCCCTTGCTTCCTGCCCGTGCCCGGGGTTGTGCGTCCCACGAGGGAGACCCTCCTGCTGCCATCTGGCCCCGGGGTGCACACTGTCCCCCCAGCTTCCCTGCGGCTTCGGGACTGGGCTGGGGGCAGGGATGGGTGTGGCTGCCCTGCCCCCCTCTGCCTGGTGGCACAGCCTGGGCGCAGCTTGGGGAGCTGGCGAGGGGCGCTGGGCCGTGCTGTGAGTGCGTGGCACTCCTGGTACCGCTGAGCCTCCTGCTGCCCGGGCCGCAGCCCCAGGACCGGGAGGAACAGCGCCCCAACACTGCCGGGGCCGGGGAGAGGTCATGGGGGCCGGCCCCAGGGAATGGGAGCCCCGCGCTGGTAGTCAGAGGGTGGTGGCCGTGGGGCTCTATGCACTGGTTGTTCCCAGCCTGTCTGGGGCCAGGGCCTGCCCAGCGCAGCCCGAACCCCAGCTGAAGGCAGGGCCCTCGAGCCCCTCCCACGGGCACCAGCCCTGGCCGCAGGGCGCCCTGCCCGGGAGCAGCTGGGCCACAGGACGAGCACAGGACACCACAGGGCAAGCTGCACAGGGTCCGGGGAGGGCCCGGGGCGCTGGGGATCCCAACACCAGGGCAGAGGAGGAGGCTGGGGGCTGGCTGGGTTCTTCGGGCACCTCCGGCGGCTCCCGCTGCGACCCCTTTCCTGCCCCACGAAGGCTCCCTGTGGGTGGGGGCCGGGCTCACCATCACTCTGCCCCCGGAGGAGGCTGAGGCGCCCCCGCCCGCCCTCCCCAGGGCCGTCCGGGTCACAGGTGGTTCAGGGAGCACCGGGGGTGGGGTGCCGCAGAGCTGAGCTGAGGTTCCAGTGCTGACCCCCAGCCGGGAGCTCACCGGAAATGAAACTGAAAGGTTTATTTTGGTGGAAAAACGCGGGAATCGGGCCGGGAGGGATGACTGCATAGGTCGCCGACTCCTCTGCGCCAGAGTAAACACTTGGGCCCGTTGTCCGTGAACTTCTTGAAGTCCCCTTGTATGCCAGGGGTCAGGGGTCAGGGCTCCAGTGTCGGGGAGTGGAAAGGTCACTCGGAGGACAGGGGAGCCATCGGGGCAGGAGCTGCATGGAGCAGAGGCCAGGAGAGAGCCCAGGGCGCAAAGGGGCCGGGGCCAGTGGGACCCAGGGCTGGGTGGGGGCGGGGCTGGGGTGCCTCAGATGGCCTTGGGGACCCCATGGGGAAGAGGGCAGGGCTGGGGGAGCAGACACGGGCAGGGGACCCACGGAAGGCAGGAGGGGGTGGTGCTTGGGCTGCGGTGTGGTGCCGGCTGGGAGGTGGGAGTCGTGGGAGGGGCGGGGTGGCCAGCAGCAGCCGGGGCTGGAAAGGCCGAGCCCGAGAGGCGTCTTGCGGTAGAAATCGGGGCGAAAGCGAGCGTGGTGCTGGCGCATGGGGCACTCGCTGTCGGCAGAACCGGTTTCCCTCAGCCACGCAGGAAGTGGGGAGAGTGGCCGGTCCGGTTCCATGGCGCAGGGGGCCCCAGCCCTGGACTCCACTGACCCCAGCTGGCCCCCAGCCAGGTCTGCGGCTGCCCCGGGCACTTCCTGGCTGGCGTGGGAGGAGCCGTGATGACCAGATAGGAGGCAGCCAGGCCTGGGAGCCGCCCGAGGGCTGGGCCGGCTGCTGAGTCACGGCCGGAAGGAGCCCCCTCTCCGCGGGCTGGGGCTGCCGCAGGTGTCCCAGGCCCAGTCTTCGGCCCTGGACGCGGCTGCTGCCCTGGGGGCTGGGGGCGGGCAGGGAGCCGCAGTGCAGGTGCCGCCCTTCCCTCTCGCCCCTCACAGCTGGTCCAGGGCCTGGTCATCGGGCGGCTGAGTCGCCGGTTCTCGGAGGAGGCACTGCTCCGGGCCAGCGTGCTGGTCTTCGTGTTGGTGGGCCTGGCCATGGTGAGAGCCCCTCCTTGGGCTGCCCCCACCAGTGAGGGGCTCCCAGGCCCACTCCCCAGCGCCTGCACACGGGCACAGCCTGAGTGCGCCGGAGCCCCGGGTCTGCCCACAGGGCCCCCGCCGCCCCCAGCCCCGCTCAGTGCCACTCCGTGGGGGCAGCAGTCAGGGTGCGGAGCAAGGGGGTGGGGCCCCGGGGAGGCCGCTCCCAGCACACCCGGCCTCTGCCCCTGCAGGCGCTGATGTCCAACGTCTTCCACTTCTGCCTGCTGACTCCCGGCCTGGTCTTCAGCCTGTGCACCCTCAACGTGGTCACGGACAGCATGCTGACCAAGGCCGTGCCCCCCTCCGACACAGGTGAGGACCCCCGTGCCAGGCCTGCTGGCCAGCCCGAGGCAGGCGGGGGCACGGGCAGGAGCTCACTGGACAGGAGGCTGGGCAGGGGGCTGCGCAGCTGCGTCAGTTTGAAGACCCCTGCAGAGCCAGTCTGGGAGACAGTGCAGCGCCTGGGGGATGGGTGGCCCCTCCCCAACCCCAGAACAGGCACAGCCCAGTGCCCAGGGTCCTCCCAAAGCACCGAGTGGCCGAGTGAGGAAGGGCAGATCTTGGAGCCGCCAGGGCCCCAGGCGGACGCTATGTCCACCGTGCCTGAGAGGGGCAGGCTGAGGTCTGGAGGCCCACGTGGCTCCTGGGGACCAGGCCCGTGGCTAGGATGGCAGGTGTCCTCGCAGGTGGGCCAGGAGCAGAGAGCAGGGAATAAGGCCCCGGGGGCGGGGAGAGGGCATGGCTGAGAAGGCGCTGGCTGCCGAGGGTGGGGCAGGTCTGGGCCAGGGCCACGGCCACGTCACATCCTGCCGGGCCCCACCCTGGCCGCCTGGGAACCTGAGCACGGGGGTGGGGATGGCTCCCGGTGTCTCAGGCGCGTGGGCAGTGGGAGAGGCCGCTGGTCCAGTCCCCACGCTGGGCCACCCCTGGCTGGGGCTCCTACTGAGTCCTGATTGAGTTGATTGATGGCTGGGCAGAGGGTGTAGGGGGGCAGGTAGGGGGGCGGGGCTGCGGGAGAGGCAGGGTGGGGGTATCCACCAGCTCCCTGAAGACCCCTGCCCTGGGAAGGGGGTCCATTGGAGGTGGGGGCCTTGGGGACAGAGTGGCTGTAGGAAGCGCTGGCGCTGTGGGTGGACCCTCCCCAGCCGACCCCATCCCTAGGCCGGGGACCATGCCTCTCCCGGACATCCTGGGTGGCAGGTTCCCCAGGGGCAGACGCCGGCACCCTGGGCAGATCTGGCAGGGCAGGGCCTGCTGCCCTGACCTGTGGCCCCATTCCCAGGCTGCTCCGTGCCTGGGAACTTTCTGGAACAGGGAGGAGGCCAGACCCACTTCCGGGGAGGGGGATACACCTGTGCGGCTGGGCAGTGGGTGGGGGTGGGGCCTGGAGGCCGGCAGCCGGCGGGTGGAGGGATGGACTGGACGGGTGCCTGACCCCTGCCCCCCCGCAGGGACCATGCTGGGCCTCTGTGCCTCGGTGCCGCCGCTGACCCGCACCCTGGGGCCCACGCTGGGCGGCCTCCTGTACCGCAGCTTTGGTGTCTCTGTCTTCGGCCACGTGCAGTTCGCCATCAACGTCCTGGTTCTCCTGGCGCTCTGGGGGGCGCCTGCGCACAAGGACAAGGTGCAGTGACCGCTGTCCCTGGGCACGGGCCGTCAATAAACTCGTGGACCCCACCCCACCCCAAGGCTGGCTGCTTCGGGCCCCAAAGGTGTTTGCGCCGCTCGGAGACCGGGGTGGGGGGGGGCGGGGCTGAGGGAGGCAGGGGGAGGGGCAGAGCCGCTGCGAAGCCCCCTGCTGCTGCCCTCACCCACAGCCCAGCGCGCCCACCTGAGTGGCACAGGCAGAGCTCAACAGACCAGGGAAGCCGAGCGTGGGAGGGAGACCTGCCTCAGGAGTCCACGCCTGCCCCAGAGGCCCTGGTCTCTTGGTGGTCCCTCTCCCACTCCCCTCATGGTGGCCAGTGCCGGGGGGCCTGCTCCTTCCCCGAGTGCTCAGAAGGGCCCCCAGCACAGGGGCCCGGCCCTCAGCGTGGCACGGTGCGGGGAGGGGGCTGTGGGCAGCCCTGTGTCCAGGGACGCAGGTGGGACGCGACTTCCGGTGCCTGCAGCAGGAGGGACTGCCAGCGGATGTTAACACTCCCAGCCCTGCCCGAGACGCCGGCCGCCCAGGCCTCAGGAGCCCACCGTCCCCAGGCCGCAGACTGGGGGCTCAGAAAGCCCACGTGCTTGGGAGACCCCGGGTGGGCCGGGGTGGGGGTCCCGGCTCCCAGCTTCTATCGCGTTGGAAGAACTCCAGCCCTCAGCACGGGGGCTTCACAGGCAAATACCCGGACTCAGCACCCAGGCCTCGCGGCCACCCAGCCGAGGGACAGCCCCGTCCGCGTCCAGCGGAGACCCTCTCCCACCTCAACTCCCCCTCTCCGGCCAGAAAGGCCCCCTAGCTCTGCCCACGGGGAGCCCCCCCAGCCCCCTACCAGCAGGCAGGAGGGGCAGAGGCCACGGGCTCGGGGGGGGGGGGGTGGTCTCAGGAAGCGGCCCAGGGCCTCCCCCACCCAACCTCCCTGGCCTGGCGTGGACGCGCAGACCTCTCGCGTCTTCTCCCCAGACCTATGCCGGCGCACGGCGCTCTGGGTGCCAGGACTCCCGGTGCTGCCAGGGTCCAGGCGCGCGGGAGGGGGGGACCAACAGGGCGGGCGGGCGGGCGCTTCCTTCCGGTCAGCGGCGGGACAGGTGGTGCGGGGGTGGAGGGGGCAGACGCCCCTCCCGCCGCCTGCTCCCGCGTCCCAGCCCTCAGGACAGAGAACTCCGTGCCAGGCGCCGGTAGAAAAAAACAGTCCTTTATTCGGGTCGGACACAGCGGTGCAAAAACAAAATATTAAGAACGCTTTGACGACAAACAGCCGTTACAATAAATACCCGGAGCGTGCAATAAGTTAACGCGCCCGCGCCCGGCGCGCGCGCCAAGGTCCCGGTCCGCGGGGCGGGGGCGCAGCCGCCTCGGGCTCCAGCCGAGCGAGCGGGCGTCCCCGGGGCTCCTGCCCGTCGTGGCCACGCCGCCAGTCGGGCCTGCTTCGTCCTGCGTGCGGCTCTGTGGGGGAAGAGGACCGGGTCAGGGGGCTGCGCCAGGACGGGCGGGGGTCGGGGTCCCGGGCTCCCGCAGCGCGCCCTCCCCCCGGCGCCGCGCCCGGACTCACCGGCGGCTCAGGGCGCGCGGGCCGCCCGCGCGTCGGGCTGCGTGGCGGGCGCGGCGCGCTCCTGCCGGCCGCGGAAGCCCTCGAGCGCGCGGCGGTTCTGGAAGTCGATGAGCGCCAGCGTGATGGCCGCGTTCCAGCAGCTCTCGCCCGCGCAGCGGAAGTCGATCTCCTTGCGGTCGGTGGTGACGATGGTGAAGTAGACGTACTTGCCCGTGCGCTCCACGCAGTCCACCTTGAGGATGGAGTGGAAGCGCAGGTCCTTGGGGCGCGCGCCGGGGCCGGCGGGGAAGAGGCGCAGGCGGTCGGGGGTCAGCACGCCGCGCTTCTTCTTCCAGAGCTGGAACAGGCTGTCGCTGCGCTTCTCCAGCTCGCCCTCGCGCAGCACCTCGCCGGGGGTCTTCATGGCGGCGGCGGCGGCGGCGGCTGTGCCCGCCGCGACCCTGGCGAGCGGCCTTTAGAGCGGCCCCACCCGCGGCCGGCCCCGCCCCCTCGGGCCACCGACCCCGCCCCTCGGGGCGCAGCCACTCCCCTAGGCCTCCGCCCCCTTGGCCCCAGCCGCGCCCCCTCGATCAGCTCGGTCTCTGGTCTCTCGGGCCCTGACCCCTGCGCGTCAGGTCCTGGCTGCCCCTCGACGCCCGCGCGTGGTCTCCGCCAGCCTTGACTCATCCCCGGGACACCCCCCAACCCTCCGCGCGCCCCGAAGTCGGTCTCTGCGGCCTCAGGGCTCCTGGGGGGAAGGGAGGGTCGCCGTCCGCCGGGGCGCTGGTCCTTGGGGATGCCCTCGCGCCCTCCCAACCTGGCCACCTCCCGCTCGCACCTGGAGGGACCCCCCTCCGAGGCCTCGGCTTCCCCGTCTGTGAAATGGGTTCAGTAGCCTGTGCTGGACCAAGTAGCCAGGGAAAGAGCTAGAACAGGACCCGGAGGGGATCTCGGGAGAGGCCGGCCCCCTCCCCGGAGCCGGCAAGGGGCGCGGCGCGGCTGAGTCATCGCGGCCTTCCTACCGGCTGGGGCGGGTTTATTTGCCTTCTTCCTTTAAAGGGTTTAATGGGGAGCAGGAAGCGAGCGCCAGCTCCTCCCAGGTTCCCAGGGGTGGGGGTGGGGCCGGCAGAGGGGGGACCCCTGGCTGCCCGCTCCCACACTCCCACCCGGCGCGGGGTGTCCAGAGCCGCACAAATGGAAACGCAGGCACTGGAGGTCCAGAGTTCCAGCAGCAAGTGCTGAGGCAGTGGCACCTCCAGCAGGGAGCCAGCCCTGGGACCCGCCCCGCTGGGCCCTGTGGACCCGTGGCCTATCCCAGCCCCCAGCCGGTGCCGGGAGGAGGGGTGAGGCCCCTCGGCCTGACTGTGGGAAGCCGCCAGCTCTCCCCACTCTCCGGCCAGTACTATCCTGGATGGGGCCTGGCTGCTAGCCAGCGAGGACGCCCCAGCCAGGGGCCCCTCTGGGGGTGGGAGGATGCAGGTGCCCAGGGGCCAGTATCACCTGGGCCTCCAGGAACCCCCACACTCTGCACTACTTGAGCACCTACTGTGTGCTGGGGCCTCAGGCGAGAAGGGGGACCCCATCTCTCCACAGGAGCTCAGTGGGGCTTGGAGCACTGTGAGGGTGGGGCATGGGGGCCAACTTGGTGGACTGTGGGGGAGGGGCGCCGGGGGAAGCCAGGGGTCCAGGAGCCCGGGGTGGGGGGCTGCCTGTAACACACGGGCTGAGGGCTCCAGGAGGGGCCGGGTTCCACCTGTGGACGCCGCCGCCCTGGGGTGCCCTCGTCCAGCCTTCTGCCCGGCACCCAGGCTCCTGCCCTTGTCTATGTGTTAGTGGGGACGTGCAGGGAGGGGGCTCTGGACCTGACGCAGGAGAGAACTCAGACGTGAGACAGCAGTGGGCAGCGAGGCGGCAGGCTTCCTGGGGCGGGGCGGCCATCAGAACGGCTGGACGCCTCTCCAGACAGAATCTGAGCGAGGGCCCCGGTCCCTCAGCCCGGGACAGCGAGGCCACGTGGTTCCGTGGACAGCACACACGTGGCAGGCCAGCGGGCGGCTCGGCAGAGCGCCGAGAGCTGGGCACACAGCCCGAGCTCTGACCCGGGCTCATAGGGGCACAGGGTCAGTTCTCCCGTGTCTCCCCCCTCCTCCCCCCAGGACGCAGGGTGCCTGGGCGTGAATCGGGCGAATTCCTCCCCAGGTCTCACCGCTCAGTGCCGCCAGGCTGGGAGCCCACCTGGCACGGGCAGAGGGGCGGCCCCCCGGGGCCTGCCCCGGGGCGGGGGCTGTGGGGTGTCGGGCTGGGTGCCCCGTGGGGCTGAGCAGCGGACTCTCCCGGGGAGCTGTCCTGGGGGACGAGGCTGGGCCCCGGCAGGTTCTCGGGGTCTGGGCAGGACCGTGTGGGGTGAATCCTGGGCTGCTCCCCGGTGAGCTGCTGCTGGCCTTCATCTTCCTCAGCCCTGCGGCCCCGTGCACACACACACACACACACACACATACAGACCGATTCCCGACCTCCTAACACATACACACACACACACACAGGCTGATTCCCGACCTCCTAACACATCACACACACACACATACACACACACACAGGCTGATTTCCGACCTCCTAACACATCACACGCACACACATACACACACACACAGGCTGATTTCCGACCTCCTAACACATCACACACACACACACACAGGCCGATTCCCGACCTCCTAACATCACACACACACACACAGGCCGATTCCCGACTTCCTAACACACACACACACACACACACAGGCCGATTCCCCACTTCCTAACACACACACACACACACACAGCCGATTCCCAACTTCCTAACACACACACACACACACACACACACAGCCGATTCCCGACCTCCTAGCTGACACATTGAGGGCCTCTTAACCATACCCACCCCTGGACCCGCCAACTCCTGGCCCTGCACACGCAGGCCTCCCCCAGGGGCCGAGCGGGAGCCCCGGGGCACCCAGACACGGGCCCCAGCGTCCTCGCCTCGGTCAAGCCCAGCAGGGGACACTGGTGATGCCGGGGGAGGGCCAAGCGTGGGGCCAGCCCCTTCCCAGCTGAGCCCGGGCACTTGGCACAGGGGAGCGGCACCCACAGTGGGAGCTTGGCAGGGAGGTGGCGTGGGGGTCTTGAGGAGGGGCTGCCTCCACTTCCCACGCTTGCTGGGCTCTCAGGCGTAGTGGCGACAGCATGAGCCGAGGCCACTGACGCGCCCAGCTCCCGCCCGGAGCCCGGCTGTGCCAGGCCGGATGCGGCTCCTCACCAGCGAGGTCACCTCCCCCTGGCGGGCAGCGGGCCCTCCAGGCACTCGCCCAGCCGGTCTGGCGATGGGGCCGGCCTGAGGGAGCCGTGCGTCACCCTCTTCCCGGGGGTGGCCGTGCCCAGGGATGGCCCCTGGCGGGGTCCTGCTCCCCGGCCCCTGACAGCTGCCGCTCTCCCTTCCTGTACAAGCTGAGACCCCTCCTCACCTCATCACTGCCCGCCTGCCAGGCCCCGGCGTCCAGGCCTGCAGGTGAGCCCAGGGGGCCTGGCGCATAGGACCTGAGTCACCCTGACTCAGGCCGGCCCTGCCACCCCTCTCCTCCGGGCTGCAGCCCCAGAACCCGGGCAGCGAGGCCAGCCGGCCTCTCCCCACCTGGTTCAGGCGCTTGCTGCCTGTCTGGTTCCGGGAGGCCTGGCCAGATCTGACAGGCAGGTGCTGGGCACCACGGCCTACGAGGGAGCCCACCACCACCATGTCCTGTCACTCACAGCACAAGGAAGGAGCCACCCCACGTCCGTGTCACTCAGGGCCTGGCTCGTGGGGCCCTCTCCGGCAGCTTGAATGAATGGACAAAATGCAGAAGGCTGAGAGGCGCCCAGGGCCTCTGCCCTGGGGGTGGTGGTCAGCCTTTGGGCCCCTCGCCCACCTGACCCCACGCATCGCGAGCAGCAGGTCCCGGGACGGCCCCGTCTCAAGTGGCCGTTAAGTCTTTTCCCACTCACAACGGGGCAGGCACTGGTCGAGCTGTGCCCGCGCCCGGCTCCACCGCCAGCTCCAGCTCCCTGCCAGCGCCGGCCTGGGAGGCGGCAGGGAGACCTGGAGGGCGATCGGGCTCCCTGCCCCTGCCGGTGGCCCTGGCCCGGCCCGGGGGCTGTGGGCGTTTGGGGAGGGAACCAATGGATGGGACCATGCTATTTCTGCTTGTCCCTCTCTAAACTGAAAATGTTAACTACCAGCACCACCGACCAACCGCGTGGGCAAGTGGGGACGCAGCTGGAGTTTCAGAGCCCCCCACGGAGCACACTCCTGAGGTGCACAACCCGTGTTCCCTGACAACCCACGAGCGCGGGGCCGGCACCCCAGGTGGCGCCGGCTGCTCCACTTCCGACCCAGCTTCAGCTGGCCCAGGTGCTGCGGCCCTGCGCCCACGTGGGAGACCTGGGTGAGTTCCAGGTTCCTGGCCTTGGCCTGGCCCAGCTCCAGCCATTGTGGCCACTTGGGGAATGAACCAGCAGGCGGAGAATCTCTAACTCTGGCTTTCAAATAAATTAAAATCAATTGTAAACCAAAACCAAAACCAAAACGGAGAGGTTGGGGCAACGCGACTGCAGGCAAAGGCCGCCTGGTGCTCTCGGGAGCCCTCAGGGCGTGGACCTGACCTCCAGAGTGCTGGGAGCTCACAAGCCCTACAGGGCCCCGCCGTGGGGTCACCGTGTCCAGCTGACCCACAGAGATCCAGCCAGGGCCCCGGCATGCGGTCACCATGTCGGGCTGACCCAGGAGACCGGCACGCACAGAGATCCGGCCCAGGTCCCAGCGTGTGGTCACCGTGTCGGCCTGACCCAGGAGACCGGCACGCACAGCGATCCGGCCCGGGTCCCGGCGTGCGGTCACCGTGTCCGGCTAACCCCAGGAGACCGTCACGCACAGAGATCCGGCCCAGGCCCCGGCGTGCAGTCACCGTGTCCGGCTAACCCCAGGAGACCGACACGCACAGCGATCCGGCCCAGGTCCCGGCGTGTGGTCACCGTGTCCGGCTAACCCCAGGAGACCGGCACACACAGAGATCCGGCCTGGGCCCCGGCGTGCAGTCACCGTGTCCGGCTAACCCCAGGAGACCGGCACGCACAGCGATCTGGCCCGGGTCCCGGCGTGCGGTCACCGTGTCCGGCTAACCCCAGGAGACCGGCACACACAGAGATCCGGCCTGGGCCCCGGCGTGCAGTCACCGTGTCCGGCTAACCCCAGGAGACCGGCACACACAGAGATCTGGCCAGGGCCCCAGTGTGGAGTCACTGTGTCCGGCTGACCTAGGAGACTGGCACGCACAGAGATCCGGCCAGGGCCCCGGTGTGTGATCACTGTGTCTGGCTAACCCCAGGAGACCGGCACCCCAGGAGACCAGCACCCAGAGATCCCAGCACTGTGGGAGATGGAGTATCCTGGCCAGCCCTGGCATCCAGCTCATGGGCCGAGGCCACCCTCCCCATGCCCCAGGGCCCTCTCTCCACCCTCCCCATGCCCCAGGGCCCTCTCTCCACCCTCCCCATGCCCCAGGGCCCTCTCTCCACCCTCCCCATGCCCCAGGGCCCTCTCTCCACCCTCCCCATGCCCCAGGGCCCTCTCTCCACCATCCCACATCTCGCAGGACCCCCTCCTAACCTGCGAAGACCCTCTGCCGACCCCACAGTTCTGTGGACTAGGACTGGGCCCTCGAGGCTGCAGCGCTAGTCTCCGGCTGCGTCCTGGCCCTCCAGGGCCCCCTGGGCAACAGGCTGGGGCAGAGACAGGCACCCCCACCCCACCCCCAGCTGGCAGCAGGCAGGTGCTGGAAGCCCTCTCCCCCTCAGACAGAGCCTGGGTGCACCTGTGTGGTCTTTGGCAGGGCTGGGCCAGGCCTGTGGCGTTGTCATGGGAAGTAACATCCGGCCACCACCCTGTGAGTCAGCGAGGCCAGGCTGGCCGGCGACGGGCAGAGGTGACAGCCTAGCAGGGAACACCAAAGTGACTGG